TTGCTGACGTAGTCCACCAATAAATAGGTCTAATGGAGGCATTTCCTCACCAAAAAAGTGCCAGCCGAAGCAGGTACATCCCTTGCTTATTTCTGCTGAGCCTACCTGAGGCACTGCTGGCAAAGATATTTTCCACTTAGCTTTCCCCTTCCTATTCATACCGTGCTCAATGGTCAATTCCCACATGGCCCAAAAATTGCAAAAAAATTGCAATTATCTAAACTATGGCTCTTCTGCAAGTGCTCCGAAGAGCACTTCATGACTCCTTTTTTTCATGATTTCTACATGCCTACATGGAGAAAACCAGCAACCCGGACCCACAGATACAGAGAGGATTTCACAGGAGTGGCTCTCCTTTTGTTGTGAAGAAAAAGTGAATTAAGTCTTTCCTATTGTGTGATGTGGTCCACGGTTTCTGCATCTGCTGAAAACACTGGCAAGAGTTTGAGAACTGACCTTGGGAAATGTGGACAGAGAAAAGAGGTCAGGCAGACCTGCAATGACCCGGTCTTCTGCAGCTCTTTCTGCATACGCATTTTACATGGTTCTAAGTAAAATTCCCATTTGAAACCAGCTTTTCCACTTCGGTTAGCCAAAGGAATCTGGTGAAGCTGCATTGCTGCAAGATTAGATAAAGGCCTGGAGAGCAGGAAGCAGGCACCGATCCTCCTCTGGAACAGGGATCTTCTAGGAACAACACTGTGTGTCTCTGCCAGTGTGCCATGCACCTTCCCTTCAGCAACGGGGCCACAGGCAAGTTACAGTGGCATTTGATGTATACGTTTGGGGACAGCCCAGACTTGGCTATACACTGTTAATGGCAGCCTGCTGCTGTGGAAAGCTGAAATGCAAAGACCTGTTTGAGATGGAGGAGGTCAGTGCTCACACACATTCTGGACGCTTCGTTAGGATGAGGAAAGAGCTCAACATACAGCAGTTTGCTTATGTGGGCACCTGTGTGGCTCTTCGCATCTCACAGCTAGAAATTATCCTGGTCCCTCAAGCAGGAGCCTGCTCCATGCAGCCTGTGGAAAGATCACCATTTGTCTGAAGAGATGCAAAATCAAGCTCTTCAGGCAGGGAGGATCAGTATTCAGTCTGTCAGGATTTTCAGTGTCAGCAGGTTCCCTGTTTCTCCTGGACTGCTCTGTACATGCCAGGACTCCTGCTGCCTTATCTGATAAGAAATACAAAACACGGAGGAAGGACAGTTCATCCAAGAGAGATTAATCAAAGGAAACTCCTTATCTTCTGCACTTCTGCCTTTTGAAGACTCCAACTTTTTCTATCCTGGCAAGATTTGAGAGAAATGCAGCCTTTTTGAAATGCTAGGAAACCATGAATGCTACTACGCTGGCACTGACCAAGACACACATGATGTAAAGCACCCCGGTGATGCTGTGATTGACGTGATATCGTGCCCAGTTTTGCAATTTGCAGCCACCGTCATAAAGACTTTAGTCTACAGTCGTGCTTCAGGCACTGACAGTGAGCCCGAGGGTGGTGACAAAAGAGGATAGCAGCGGTGGAACTGCAAATAGAAACGTATACCACGATGCTGCTGCGCCCTTTTCTGGTCACTCAGCCTTGCAGCAAGCTCTTCGTCACTCCTTTGTACCTTCTCTTACCTCAAAGACCTTAAGACAGCCTCCCAGATATGAAGATACGACAGCAAAAGAGGAAAAACGTGGTCTGGTAAGGGTATGGGGGATGGCTAAGATGGCAGTAGAGAGCTGCTGCGATCACTGCCGCCTGGAGTCACTCTTGATCTGGGATTGCAGTTGTCTCATTTGGAGTAATAAATGTATTTGCTCTTTGGCATGTGTCCAGCGGCACGGAGAAACTTCCAGGGGGCGGGGAAGAAAAGCTGTCAAGGAGAAAATTCTTAAAACCCCCAAGTAATATGTGTAAGACAAGCTTGGTCAAATGCAAAAGAGAGGGGAAAGAATCGAGGGGACTAAAAGATAATGAGAAAGAGATAAAAGTACCAATAAAAGGAAAGGGAGGAAGACCTTTAGACAACAAAGGAGAGGATTAGACCAAGGAGGTGGCAAGGGTGCGCCCTTGACAAACAGGGCCAAAGTCAAATAGAAAAATAGCCCTGCCAGAAATAAAAGCAGAGGAGCTGAGCTTGAACAATGGGGGAAGAAAAAACAGCTGTCATATAAAATGGGGACCAGAGAACAAGAGGCATTTTGAAAGTCTGGTGCAAGGGCTGCCTGAGCAGGGCAGCCCGGGGTGCACCGGCCCCAGGTGGAGGGCAGGGACATGCCCTAGAGAGCGCGTTTGCAGAGAGGACTGAGGCAACATGCGGGATGGTATCGGACGGCTTATCTGGGATGTTTGAGGCAGGAGGACAGGATAGTGGGGGAGGAAGACGCAGATACTTTTCTATGCAAATGCGTGGAGCTTCTGTGTGAGTCAGACACCGGAACATTGTGCTATGGGTTTACAAAAATCAGGATAACCCATAGGAATAATGCCTACTGGGTTTGCTGCATGCTATTTTCTTTTTGTTTTCTTCAGTGTGATTTTAAATAGCAAAGAAATATGAGTCAATTCATGCATGGAAGAGAATTACTTCATCAAATGGCATAGTAACCGCTGCAATCCCCAGCTACGATCACCCGAAACTGCTGATTTAATGATCAACTGCAAATCCCCAACTCAGGTGGAACTTCCCACCTTCCATCTCCATGTTAAAGATGAAAATCTTCCAAACTGAACAGAGGCCTGAATATCTTTGAAATGAAACACCCCAGAAAAAAATGCTAGAGCAAACCAAAATGGTTTTGTTGCAAATGCCACGATACCCAAGAGACCAACTGTCCCTTGTCTCCAAAACTAACCAGAAAAGAAGATGGGAAACATTTAGAATGAGCGGTAAGACTGAAGCCAGAGCACCAGCCCTGGCACGTGCCTGAGCAGCAGCAGGGAAGCGCAGGGAAGTCAGCTGAAGAAATCTCCAGTCAACACTACTCAGAGAGGGAAGACTTGTGGGGTTTAATAGCACCAGAGCAGCCAGGGGCAGGGAAAGACAGTGGATCTGTGTTCGTATTGTAACAGGCATCCGACCTTACCGGGAAAGTTCTAGTTCTATGTATTGCCTTCTGGTTTTGAACCATTGGAGCAACATTTACTTCACATTTGGAGCCTTTTGTCAATAACCATGAGACGTAAGCTTTAACAAAAAAAAGAAGAAAGAAGTGAAATTCTCATAAAAATCTATTAATTTCAGCAGCTCACACGCTCAGACAGATACCAAACACTGCAAGACAGAAACAGAGAATCTCGTGACTGTCATTTGCTAAGTTGGGGTAGAAGGAAGACCTCACCATGTGCAGGGGATGATGATAAGGGTTTAGGAGTCTGCCAAGAAAAGATACAAAACAATGCCTGAACACTGCTTGCTAAGGCCAAGGAGCCTGAAAAAGGAAGAGGGGGGACTGTTGGGAGCTTTTCTTTCTGTTATTCACTGCTATTAAAAGAGGATGTGGCCTCTCTGCTACATATCACCCTGCCTTCCCCTGCCAGCCCTGCTCTGTGTGTGTACTCTGGCTGCCCCCTGGAAGGCTGCCTCTCCTAAGTAGGTGCTGTATGAAAAGGAGGTAAACAGGGTCCTGCCTTTTTCCTTAGCTCTTCCATTCTTATCTTCTTTTTTTTTTTTTCCATTTTGTTCATCTGCAGAGATAAGAGTTTTTTCCTTTGCTTGTACAGTAAATTAATTAGACATTACTGGGAGTTCAGATAATCCAGTAATTTTATATATACAACCACCTGCATCAACAGTTGTTATAAAATTCTTAATTAAGGAAAATATCTCTAAGAATGGGGTATGAACCTTGTTCAGAGCATGTGAGTAAGCAAAGCAACACAATGAGCTCTATTAAATAGCGGCTTTAGGTTGTCTCACAGTACCACATGCTGTAAAATCAGAGAGGGCACAGAGATAAATTGCAGGAAGGAACTGTTTAAGCCTAGGGCTTGCTGCCACAGCAGTCGCTGTGGGACTGCCCGCTCACTGCAGAAGCAACAGTGAGAGTCAGGTATGCGCATCCTGCCTTTCTCAGGGTATCTCAAAACTCAAAGGCAGGCTGAGGTTTAACAGTGTCTAAATTCAACCCTAAATATCCCTCGTCCTTTCAACCAGCCTCTCCTATCTCCTAGCTTCCTCCCTATTGCCCTTTCCTTTCCCTCTCCCCACCCCCACCATTTGCTCTTATCTCCCTCCCACTCCCAAATCCTTGATCTTCCTCTCCCTCCCAAGGTAGGGAGCCAGCTGCCAGCCATCAGACATACTCTGCTCTTGCCCCTTTGCTACGTCTGGGTCCCCTCTGAACCTGGGCATCTCGCCCCAAATCTGTTCCTGTTGGGATTTAGCAAATGCAGCCCCTTGATCTTTTCATATGCATTTGCTAGGTTCTTACGCCTCCCCCACGGCCGCTTTCTTCAAGGCTTTCTGTGTGTCTGAAGCTCTTATCAACTCCTCGGAACAGAATACACGAATGGCACCACCAGGTCTTGAAGTCATGTCTCACACCTCTCAGGAAATGGCTTACCCCACCAAGTCACATCCCCCTCCTAAGCACAGGGCTAAAGTCACAAGATACTATTAGTTCCTCATTGCCAAAAACAGAGAGAGACAGTAGCTTAATTTCCAAAGGAAAACAGATCATGCATATATAGATGTAATCAGATTCTAGCCAAGCAAGAGAGTCGTCTTTCAGAGAGAACACAACCGCTTGTCACATCGCATTTACTTTAACCCCGTGGAAGATCTGTGCATAGAGCTGTTGCGCAAGACTGGCCCTTTACTGTGTGATCTGAAATAACTGGTGGCTGGGCTGCACAAGCAGTGTCCTGCGTTGGGGATTGATGTCACCAGGCTCTGACATCGTTGTGGTTCTCCAGTGTGATGGACTCCATCACATATTTCTTACCTGTAGGTACAAAAGCCCTGAAAGGGGTTCAGCCCAGCCCCTTGGTCACAGGTCACTCACTATTCAGGATACTGCGGCCGCGCCGCCATGGGTCACACTGTCAGCCACGCAACAGGGACAGCACTGCTCTCCTTTTCACTCCCTGGCCCCAGTGCCCAGGCGCCTGCTGCCAACCAGGACAGCCTGGGGACAGCCTGGGGACAGCCTGGCGCATGGCCGAGTCATGCTTCTGACCTTGTAGTAAGACACTGGATCCACCTCACTGTCTCACAGGTGGAGGTGAGCCTGAGGGTCAGAGACAAATACAGCTAGTTCGGTTTTACAGATGGTGAAGCCGAGACACAGAAGTCAGCATGTTGCCTGGGGCCACACAAGAGACCAGAGATGGAGCTGTGAACGCAACAGCGGCATCCCCAGCCTGCGGCGCTTTTCAAACAAGTCACCCACCACACATGTGCAACGGGAACGGCACAGCCCTAAGCGCGAGGGGGTCATCGTTCATCCTTCTGAGAGGCAGAAGGAGCCCTCTACATCAAATACGCTTCCTGGGCTGACCAGGAAGGCAAGCCCCCTCTTCTCTTCTCTGTAGAGTGCTGGTCCCTGCCTTCAGGGAGGCTGGGATCTGTTCTGGGACTCCCCTAGGAGCAGAGGATGATGTGCAGGGTGAGGCAGCGAGGACCTCCTCAGCAACCCGCTGGGGCTCTGGCGACGAGGAGCTCTCAGGGACACAGTTGAACATCCAAGATGGACAGGCAGCTCAGGTCTCCCAAGAATACGCTTCAAGACATCTGCAAACTATGCCAAAGTGAGGACTATACGCAGCTCACCTTCTCAAGCTCTTCCTTGTTATAGCCATGAGGGCTAAAAACACAAACACTACAAAGTGACAACTTTAACTTAAAAACATGACATCACTGTGAGATCTCAGAACTCTACCTAAAAGCCCGGATGTGCCTCAATATATAGATCTCAGTGTATGTACATTGGGAAGACCTGATAAACCTCTAAAAGCATTTGGAGGCCGTAAAGAGCTTTGTCACAGTGACGAGAAGCAATCGGAGGGGAATTAAGCATTCATCTAAAGATTTCCTCTTAGGCAGAATGAGAAAACCCTCAAAACCTAAGCCTAGCATGCATTAATGATTTTTGCTATAGGGGCCCTGCTAGAGAAGCTGGAAATTATACAGCATTTTCATGCCAGCAGAAGCTCTGGAGCAAATGTAGTTATGTATGCAACCATAAAAATGTGTGCGGCCTACAACTAATTTTATTAGTGAGATAGTTATACAGGCATTGCTTCTTCAATATAGCTTAAACTTAAGCTAAGTCTTAACAGCAAAAATGTGGTTTTGTTTTTTCTTAAACTTTCTCTAAGTTAAAGAGGTCAGGTTTGTGTGACCGCTGTTCCTTTTTTGCTCAGTCTCCTAACACAAGCTTCTGAACCTGTTGGCCAGTTTCAACTAAAACTGATGTAGAAATGGAGATCTCCAAGATACCAAGTCTTTGCAAGTTTAGTCAGGGAGACAAGAGACCGCTAAATTTGCACTACTAAAAGCTTCAATCTCGGGTTTAGACACCAGAGAATTCACATTAAAGACAGCCACCAAAAAGAAAAAAATAATAAGGTTTGCTGGAATGAAAAAATACCATGCAAGAGCTGTCTCCCTGCAGAGTCCCAGAAGGAACGAAGTGATGTGACAAGCCAGAGGAGTTTGAACACAGCGAAGGCTGTACTAGTGGTTACCAACCACTGCAGGGCAAAACCCATCATGCCTCATCCCCTCCAGGACCGAGCAGCAGAACTGCTCACGTGTGTTAGTTATCTAAAGGGGCGCGCTTGTTTTGGCAGCAAAGACACGACTGAGCGTCACACTGCCGCCTACTCTTGCCACGCGCTCTGGGCTGCTTCCCAAGCCCCAGCTCCTCAAGTCACATAAGGCAGGATCTTAATCTGCACGTTTAAGAGATGACCTCGTGGCCCTCAACAGCCTGAGAGAACCTCCCCATCTTGATATGCAAAAGGCTGAAAAGCCAGCAGGCCCGCAAACCCTGCACAGGGCCCATCTCCCCCTTCTTCTCCAAAATCTCAGTGTTTCAGAGGCTGTCTTATCCTTGCTGGATGCTTGGAGCTGGCAGTGGTGACGTGATAATGTCTTCTCCTCCTGAAGCTTAAAACTGTGTTTTCATTGCAGGTACAGGCGCATTTCGTATTGTGAGAGTCCCCTCGGCACAGGCACCTCAATGCAGAGGTACACCCAGCACGGACAAAAGCATAAGGAGTTTCTTGACAAATATAGTGAAGATCCATGTAATCAGCCTCTGAAGCAGGCTGTAATCTCTCTTATCTACACAAGGTAGTCTGCTCTTCCCTTAGAGATAGCTATCTCAATTTTAGCTGTCTTAATTTCAAAAAGCAAGCCACTTCTGGACTTATGTCATAGCTTCTGCGTCTCGAGGGAAGAAGTAAAATCCCCCTTTGTGCCTAGAAAAGACACAAATAAAAGCAAGTATGCGGAACAGGAAGGGATAAAAGTCTGAACGTCTTCCTAAATGCTTCCAGCCCCTACCTAGGTATAACTCCACGCAGATGCTGGCACCTACAAGGCATTGGAAACCTCGTCAGACTACAAGGGGCACATCAGGATGCAAAACTTCTTGTCGAGGAAAGGAAACTCTGCTGAATCCAGACAGAGTGCTTTTTTCTTGCTGCAGGAGGCACACTGCAGTACCTCACAGGCATCGCTTTTAGCACATCGGTGGGATGACGCTCTGGGAGCTGCGGAGAGGTGTGCCAGCATTGGGAGGGGAGAGAACTGGCAGAAGAAAGCAAAGAGCTGTCTTTCATGCCGTCCTGCTTGCCTAGGAGGAGGCAAAAGCCTCCTACTCTGATCTCCACCTAACAGCACACTCCTTTACCATTAGAGCACCGGCCCCCTTGCCTTTCTTCAATCTTAGATCCCTTTCAAACCAAGCCAATACAGAAGGGTGGCCACCAGGATCCCATAGACGAAATTAGTGTGTAATGCTTTGAGCAACGGGAAAGGGAAAATACGCTTCCTGGGCTCTGGTCTTGCCCCAGAATTGCTCTGCTTTCGCGTCCAGCACATATCGCTGGTATGCAGAAGAGGACTCGTCACCAAGACATATTAACATGTTGGTATTAGCCAGCCAGCCCAGAAAAGGAAACTGAGGGAGAGAGACTAGAAGTAAACAGAGGTCAGCACCAAAGTTCTGCAGCCAGGCAGCGCAGCCAGGCCTGCCTACAGCTGCCTCAGCCACTCATGGGTAAACTGCGGGAACGTCTGCTGGAAAATGCAGTCGTCTGCAGGCGGGTAATTCAGTGACTGAGCGTGAACCCCACACCCTGGAGCCTCTGTGTGTAATTCTGGGCTGCATTAAGGGCACCGACCATTTTGCCCACATGATTCAGTCACAGTAGCACAGGTGTTGTACCTAGCCTGTTTTACAGAGCTGCAAAACACAGGCTTCCTATTCCGTATCGTAGAACTAGCGGTCAAACTGCACTCATATACACGATCTATTTCAACAAAATTTAGTATGTAGAAGTTATTTTTCTTCCACTGTAACAAAGTGGACTTTTCGTTTTTTATGGTCTATAAACGTTATACCCGTGTCTTTTAATGAAAGCTTTCAAGCCTGGGAAACGTCTCCATTAGTTTCCTCATAGAATCATAGAATCATTTAGGTTGGAAAAGACCTTTAAGATTATCGAGTCCAACCGTAAACCTATCAGGGGAAGCATATTAGCTGCTGTTACAAGATAGCTATTGGAACACCTCTGGTACCGTAAAGTGCAAGGGAACCGAGAAGGCTTTTGGCCTGAAGGATGTCACAGCAGTCAGAGATCAAAGAGTCAGCCCATTTCCAGATTTATGAGTTGGGAATAGGTCTATTAGCTCCCAGTACTCGCTCTTTCCTAAGTACGTATTCAATATACATTGATAAAGTAGTCATCTTAATGGGAAGTCTGACACTGAAAACCACCACGCTCCTGGGCACTCTGTCTCAGTTTTGTCCTCTTCTAGCTCAGCAGCAGATCCAGGTGGCGGCAGTCCTAGAAGCACCCCCAGATGGGACCCCCTCATTTCCCTCCTGCTCCACCTGGCAGCACCCTCTCGCTTGTACGGCTGTCTCAGGGGCTGCTGGTGACCCACGGGCGGGGAATCCCAGATCTGGATAAGAAAAAAAACCCTGCTGTTACTGTACAGTTAATTTAACTCGGATTAGTTCCCTGATCACACTGTGTGGACCCGCATACAGCTTAGCAACCCACTCAGCTAAAGGGAAAGCAGCAGGATGGGGGTGAACATTGGGGGGCCTGGGGTGCCAGCAGCTACTTGAGCCTGGGCTGCTGCTGCTGAAAGAAAAACACACGTACATGTGTGAAAAAAACACATTTCCCTGAAAAAGCTGCTCTGTCTGGCATACTTAATCCACCTTAGCCAAATCCTAGAAACTAAAGTCAATATCCCTATATAAGGGTATAATTCAAAGCAGGATTAAATCCTTCTGAAGCCTAAAGGATGTCACATCTCTATTCTGCATTACACAGGCAAGAAACCTCTGCTTCTGTTTTTCAGCAAATGTTATTTGATGTAAAATAGAGTAAAATGTTCATCATGTAAATGTAATACGGAGCAATTCCCTTTTGGTGCCACCTGTGGCATCTTCTAAATCTGCACAGAATCTGCGGAGTAATTCAACCCTCCCCGAGTTTTTTGTTAAAAACCTAAAATAATGCCGTCCATGCTTTCTGGATCACCGCTCATCTGTGCCCTTTCTTACCGCCGTGCCCTCTCGTTACACCGCTAATTGAGAACGCTGTACAAGTCTCATGTTTCTGACCGCTGCTTGCAGACTACAGGCCATGATTTCGGGAACAAACGACCTAGAAACTTCATTAACAAAAGCACCCGGATCGCTGCACGTGTAAAAGCACAAAGGTACAAATGCTTTAGGAATAAAACTTTCAAAAATGGCTTTTAACAATCAAAACACCATTCTTTCATATAAAATAACTTTTCATAGGAGACGGTCCTGTAAGGACAAACCCTTTTTAAAGCACCTT